TCCGGAGCTCTAGAGTATTATGTTAAATGAAATAAGCCAATCAGAGAAAGACAATGATATTATTTCACCCATATGTGGAATTTAAGAAACAAAACAGAGGAGCATAGAGGAAAGAAGGAGGGGAAAAATAAAACAAGACAAAAATCAGAGAAGGAGCAAACCATAAGAGACTTAACTATAGGAAACAAACTGAGGGTTGCTGAAGGGGAGATGTGTGGAGAATGGGGTAATTGGATGATGGGCATTAAGGAGGGTATGTGATGTAATGAGCACTGGGTGTTATATACAACTGATGAGTCATTGAATTCTACCCCTGAAACTACTAATACACTATATGTTAATTAATTGAATTTAGATTTAAAAACCAAACAGGCTAACATAAATAGCATTTTAAATAAATCTATCATATTTTTTCTTTTCTTTTTTTTTAAGATTTCTTACGGATGCCTGAGTGGCTCAGCAATTGAACGTCTGCCTTTGGCTCAGGGCATGTTCCTGGAGTCCCAGGATTGAGTCCTGCATTGGGCTTTCTGCATGGAGCCTGCTTCTCCCTCTGCTTGTGTCTCTGCCTCTCTCATGAATAAATTAATAAATAATCTTATTTATTTATTCACGAGAGACACAGAGAGAGAGAGCCACCCAGGTGTCTCAAAATCTATCATATTTTCATATGCTAGTAATGAACAATTCAAACATGGCTTGCTTAGTCAATGGAGCATGCAACTCTTGATCTCATAATCATGAGTTCAAGTTCCATAAACTTAAAAAAAATAAATACTAAATTAAGACAATAGTTTCATTCATAGTAGCATCAAAAAGAATACTTAGGAATAAATTTAATAAGAAAAGTATAGATTTATACACTGAAAACTACAAAACGTTGCTGAAAAAAATTAAAGAAGGTGTGAATAAATGGAGAGACACTGCATTTATGGACTGGAAGATTCAATATTGTTAAGATGGCAGTACTTCTTCCCAACTTGATCTCTATATTCTTTTTTTTTATCTCTATATTCAATACAATATTTATCATAATCCCACCTGGCTTCCCTCCTCCCCCAATTTTGAGAAGCTGATTCTAAAATTCAGATGGAAATGACAAGGACTCAGATTAGCCAAAATAATCTTGTAAAAGGACTTAATGCTGCTCATTTTTAAAACTTACTACAAAGCTACAGCTATCAGATAAGATAGTGTGGTACTTGCTTACATCATAAAGACATTTATATCAATGTAATTGAATTTTGAAAATTTTCTGATTTTTCACAAAGGTTCCAAGGCAATTTAAAAGGAAAAGGATAGTCTTTTCAGTAAATGGCACTGAGACAATTATTATATCCTCAAACAAAAATATCAATTTGGGCCGTTATCTCATACCATACATTAACTAAAAATGGGTCAGAGATCTAAATATAAGAGTTAAGACTACAAAACTCTTAGAAGAAAATACAGAAATCTTTGAAACCTTGGATTAGACATTAATTTCTTAGAAATGACAAAGCACAAGTGATAAACAAAAGTATTCATAAGTTGGATTTCATCAAAATTAAAAGCTCATATGCTTTAAAAGACATCATTAAAATAAAAAGACAAGCCACAGACTTGAAAAAATTATTTGCAAATAACATATTCAAGAAAGGACTTATATTCAAAACATATAAAGAGCTCCTACAACTCAATAGTATGAAGATGAATAGTCCAATTAAACAGTGGGAAAAAGATTTAAATAAGCATTTCACCAACAAATAATCAGTGCATGAAAAAAAATATTCAACATCTTTAGTCACTAGGGAAATGCAAATCAAAACCATAATGAGATACAATATCACACCCACAAGAGTGGCTACAACTAGGAAGACAGTAACAAGTGTTGATCATCATATGGAGAATCTTGAACATTTTTACATTACTGGTAGAAATGTAAAATATTGCAGTCAGGCTGAAAACCAGTTTGGTAGTTTCTCAAAACAGTAGACATAAATTTACCATCATCACCCAACAGCTTCACTCCTAGGTATCTTCCCAAGAGAAATGAAATCATCTGTCTACACAAAGACTTGTATATGAATCTCAAAAGCAGCATTATTTATAATCACCAAAAGTGGAAACAACCCAAATGTCTATCAGCTGGTGAATGGATAAATAAAATGTGACAAATCTGTCTGATGGAATATATTCTCTGACAATGAAAGGCCTGAAGCACTGACACATCCTATAACATAGATGAACCCCCAAAACATTATACTTAGTGAAAGAAGCCAGACTCAAGAGTTCACATATTGTATGATTCCACCTACTTGAATTGTCCAAAAAAGTAAAATTTATAAAGACAGAAAGTGGGTTGGTAATTGTCCAGGCCTGGTAGGGGAGTGGCTACTAATGGAATGAGGTTCTTTACTGGAATGATGATGATGTTCTAAAATTAGGTTGTGATGATGGTTGCACAACTCTGTAAATTCACTAAAAGTCCATTGAACAGTGCGCTTAAAATGAGTGAATTTATAGTATCTAAATTATATCTCAATAAGGTTATTAAAAAATCTTAAGCTCAGAAATTGACAAGTAAATAAAATCTTAATTAACTACTATACTAATATTTCTTTCACGTTGGGAAATATAACTGATTATTAATCACGACATACATTCCTATCTAGAAGTACCTAGAGTCATAAATCAGGTATATTTCTTGACAAAGGATAGTAAAGCTCAGTGAATTTTGAGGATCATTAGACTCTTTTCTAGAGTTCTTAATTAATAAATTGACAGTACATCACCATGGCACAGTGGATGTGATCTGTGCTATGCAATTAGTAGAACTTATCATCAACAGCAGTTAAGTTAAATTTGTTGACCTGCTAAGGTCACCATAATCCTAAAATGGCTCACAAAGATATAACTAGATATGTTGGGGATTGAGAGTTTAATTCAAACTTAGGTTATACTACTTGTGGAAGAAAGTTGGGCGGCATTTCTTAAATTCCTTTTTTCATTTGGTTTATGAACAATGTTTGAGGACAAATGTGTCAAGAGGTAAGTACTGCTTAGCTTGGGTCTCTAGGAAACCATGAAGCCTTTACTGATAACACAAATGTGATGGAAGTTTTTCCTGAATCCATTTGCCAGTTGTAAAATTAATGATGTGAAAATCAAACTGCTCCTTGAAAAACAAAAGCAGCTCTTTTCCGGCTACTGCGGCGCAAGCTACCATGAGCAGCAAAGTGTCCCGCGACACCCTGTACGAGGCGGTGCGGAGGTCCTGCACGGGAACCAGCACAAGTGCCGGAAGTGTCTGGAGACCGTGGAGCTGCAGATCAGCCTGAAGAACTATGACCCTCAGAAGGACTAACGCTTCTCCGGCACCATCAGGCTTAAGTCCACCCCCTGCCCCAAGTTCTCCATGTGTGTTTGGGGGACCAGCAGCACTGTGATGAGGCCAAGGCAGTGGATATTCCCCACATGGACACTGAGGTGCTGAAGAAACTCAACAAGAATAATAAACTAGTCAAGAAGTATGATGCCTTTTTGGCTCCAGAATCTCTGATCAAGCAGATCCCACGAATTCTGGGTCCAGGCCTGAATAAAGCTGGCAAGTTCCCTTCCTCGCTGACCCACCTTGAGAACATGGTGGCCAAAATGATGAAGTGAAGTCCGCCATCAAATTCCAGATGAAGAAGGTGCTATGTCTGGCAGTGGCTGTTGGCCACGTGAAGATGACAGATGATGAGCTCGTGCACAACATCCACTGAGCTGTCAATTTCCTAGTGTCCTTGCTCAAGAAGAATTGGATCAATGTACGGACTTTATGCATCAAGAGCACCATGGGCAAGCCCCAGCACCCTTACTAAGACAGTTTAATAAATCCTAGTGCTACCGTTAAAAAAAAAAAAAAAAGAAAAACAAAAGCAAAAGCAAAAATAAAACCAAAAAAAATCCCCAAATCCTCCTTGACATTTCAAAAAGCACTGCTAACTATTCAATAGCAAGATCCCAGAAGACCAGGTAGGCTAAGGCCTGAGAGAGATTCAGAGAATCTGAGCGATCAGAGGAAAGGATGCACTGATGCACAAAACCACATACAAGCCGGTGTGGAATTCCAGTGGAAAATCCACAGACAAATCCAAGCGTGAAGCCTTCCGAAGTGAAGAGGGCAGGCTTTATTTAATACAACGATCACGACCAGCTGTGGCCTGTTGTTCTGCTTGTGGGGGCTGTGCTCCCTGTTGCCGTCGGAGCTTTCCTATACGCTCAAGTAGACCTCTGCTCTTTTCTACCTGTGGATGGGGTGGCTTCTCCTCATGAGCTACCACAGCGTTATCTGCGAATGTTCACTGCATCATGCATATGATAGAATCTTCCTGACTATATACCTATAAGCCATGAGACATTTTAAAGAATGTTTGATAATGACTTTCTACAATAAACTATTTTCTATTTGTTGATTAGGGAGGAGGACCTCTTGGTTATCTCACAGTTTAATATGTACGAATTTTGACACTAATAAAATATAATACATATTAATTTACAGTCTATAGCTTTATGCTTTTCAATTTTACTTTCCTCATGGGTTATTTTAAGGCATCAGTAATACATTGTACATTTTAAAATGTAACATGATACAACTGGCAGGATATTCTATGATAAAACCAATGCCCTATAGAAGTTTTTTTGACAACTATCTTTTTTTTTAAGATTTTATTTATTTATTCATAGAGACACACAGAGAGAGATGGGCAGAGGCACAGGCAGAGGGAGAAACAGGCTCCATGCAGGGAGCCTGACGTGGGACTCGATCCAGGGTCCCCAGGATCAAACCCCGGGCTGTAGGCGGCGCCAAACTGCTGCGCCATGTGGGCTGCCCTTTTGACAACTATCTTAAACAATGAAACTGCAGATTAGACCTGGAAATTCATTTCATTTTCAAATTCTAGGAATATGAGGTATGAATTTTGGTCAAGCTTTGATTACTACTTTGGTCTGTATTTTACTTTGTATTTCAATAGAGTAAAAAAGCCATCAAGAATATCCTACAAAAATGCACCTATCTACCAGCCCTTGAGCCATTTCTGTATGATGCACCTCCCAATATTCTGAAGCATGTGGTTGGACAGTTCAGTAAGGTAAGGAATGCTCTCTTTTCTGGAAGTGAGGGAAGAAAACTTAAATGACTTGTTAACTTTTCTGGTGGGTCAATGTCTTCTGAAAGATGGGGGCAAGCTTTACTTTTTAATTCTCACTGACTGTAGTGACAGGAGGGGTAGCATAGGTTAATAAAATTAACATAAGTTAATAAAATTCACAAATAAATAATTCACATTTCCTTCTTCCTCACTTTCTTCACGGCCTCTGTACTGGCTTTTTCAGTGATCTTGGGGAGTAAATAGTATGCCAATATATAAACACCTCATAATACAGATAATTTATATTGATAGTAATTTAGTAATTATCCTGGTATATGTTAGTCTCACTCATCTGGGAACACTGCAAAGATTTAGTAAAGAGAGCAGCCCGGTGGCTCAGCGGTTTAGTGCCGCCTTTGGCCCAGGGCCTGATCCTGGAGACCCAGGATCAAGTCCCACATCAGGCTCCCTGCATGGAGCCTGCTTGCTTCTCCCTCTGCCTGTGTCTCTGCTTGTGTGTGTGTGTGTGTGTGTGTGTGTGTGTGTGTTTCTCATGAATAAATAAATTAAAAATATTTTTTTAAAAAGGATCTTGTAAAGAAAACTAAAAAGCTGCCTGAGTCATTTATGACAAAGTCCATGCAGTTTACTGGAGATGCTTTCAGACAGTCATTTGGAGTTTATTGAATTATTTTATGAACAGTTTTAACAAATATAGCCATCATATTTTTTAGTTATTGCAGATTAAAAGTAGTAAGGTAGAAAGGTCAAGCTGCTGGATGTAGGCTTAGCCAGCAGGATCAACTATTGATAGCAAAGGCTGAGAAAAATGAGTGTATCTGCACAGCCATCAATGGCCAAGGTGACAACCCTGAGCTATAAAGAACTAGTTAAATTGTGATCAGGAGATTTGATTTAAGAAAATGGGGTCTTTGGAAGTAGCATACCATAGTGGGTTATGAGCTCAGGCTCAGGCTCTGGAGTTAGGGTGTCTGGATTTCCCATTTGCCAGTTGTTATATCTTTAGCAAAGTCTTGATGTCTCTGAACCTCAGTATGGTTATGAGGGTAATGAGAATTCCTATTTTATAAGGTCACTGTAAAGATTAAATGAGATGTTATATGTAAACAGGTTTACATATAACAATAAGTAATGGCAATAAACATTAGTTTAATGCCAGGCACATATTAAGCATTCAAACCTCCTCCCCCCACTGAGAAACCCAAAATGTTGCTTTTAAGAAATAAAGCATAGAAGTGGTTAAGGTTGATTCTTAAAGAATTAATAGAAATGAATGTGAGGGGCACATATTCATGTGAATAGTTAGGTATAATGCTATATAAAGGAGTTAACATTATTTGTATACTATATTTCTACAAACAATGAACAAAAACTATATAGTGTTACAACTTTTATATTAGGCCCTGCAACAGGTCTAGTTTCAGGTACACATCTGAAAGATGCTACTATCTACTAACAGCCTTCAGTTCTGTCTTCCATGATCTCTAACAGCTTGGGTGACCCTCAAGCACCATAGTCACTGGAGAGCAGAAGGTTTTACATTGCTGAGGCTGCCTCAGGATATGGTTCTGGGTATTAGACACTTAGGTTCTGTTGTCCCCTTCTAGGAAAATAATCAAACCTTTTCCCCCTTTGGGTACTAGGTAAGAAAGTGATCAGCCAGTTTGATCGACTAAAAAGGGGAGGGAGTAAGTTGCTGAGTGGCTCATCTACGGAGTCATCAGCTCTTGAAAATGAGTAGCTGACATTATTTCTGAAAGTTTTATTTTATGGTCTCATCTTTTAGGCTACCAAGTGAGGTATTCTAGTTTTATTGAACTTACTATGAAAATGAACACTAACCTGAACTGAGTTTAAAATAAGTCATTAGAATAAACCAGTGGGATTTGTGGAAGTTAGCCAGCCAAGATAAAATAAAGACAGTACCACATATCATATCCTCTTAGAAATGTGTCTTTGGGAATATTTGCTTTGGGCAGAATTTTGTGTTTTCTTAATCTAAGGATACCAGAGCACTAGAAGGAGATGAGAAAGCAAGGCAGAAGGTAAAAAAGACATTAATTTAGTGTGGCTGGGGTCTGAGACAGGAGGTAATGAAAATTCTCCAGGCCAAACAACATATTTAAAACAGACGTAGCTGTAGGCTATTTCATTTTTTAGAAATACACACTAGTATCATCTTTTTTTTTTTTTTTTTTTTTTTTTTTTTTTTTTAGAGTGAGCACAAGTGGACCTGAGCCTAAGGGGGCTGGGGAGGGGCAGAGGGAGAGAGAGAATCTTAGCCAGGCTCTATGCTGAGAGGAGAGCCCCATGCTGGGCTTGATCTCACAACCCTGAGATCATGACCTGAGCCAAAATCAAGAGTTGGAGACTTACTGACTGAGCCCAGGTACTCCACTAGTATCATCTTTTATTGTCCAGCTGATGTGTATTATCATTCTGTCAGCAAGATCCTTTTGTAATTTTAAGTATTTGTTAAATGCCTACATGTACCCAGTACTCTGTTAAACACTGGAAGATAGACAAAAAAGAATGAGACAAAGTTCTTCTTCAAGGGACTTTATAACCTACCTGGGAGACCAGACAAAACAATTAGAAAATGCTTCAGTGTGCTGGATTTCATGGTAGACTTTTTTTTTTTTTTTAAGAAGGAATAAATGAATGTAGTCTGAAGTATTCAGAGAGGACTTCAATGCAGGAAGTACAAGGGAATACAGCTGGTCTTTGAAGAAAGAGAGAGAATGGAGGGGGAAAGAAAGGGTGTTTCTGTCAGAGAGCATAGCAATGACTACAGAAGGGAGCAGGGATTCCCATAATGCAAACCCGCCCTCTCTCCAGGACCTTTCTTGTCTGGCCAGTCATTGTTGTCTTGCATAATTTATTTCTTTATCTCCATTGACTCGTTCATCTCAACACATGAACATCCACTGTCAAATCCAGCGACTTTTTAAAGTTTTCATTGGTTGCTTCTCAAAATCTTCTCTTGGATTTGTTGATTCCTTTACTTTTCCGATTTTTCTTGTCTTTGTATCATCTCCTCAATTTTCTTTCTCTGCTTACTCTTTAGTATGTCCATTCATTTGTTAAACATTTGTTGAGCATCTTTTAGGCACCAAGCACTAGAGAAATAAATGAATGAGTAAATGAACGAGTGAATATATCATTTGTCTTCAATGGCATTTATTTGTGACAGACATAGCAGCTGATAGTTAAAATATTATGTGGCAAGTGCACTGGCAGTGGTTCAACAGAATGCTACAAGAGAAGAAAAGTCATCTACTTCATCCCGGGATAAGAGGGTAGGAGTGTCCCAAAGAAAGTTTCTTAAAGGAGGGGATACTTGAGCTGAATCTTCAAAGATGAATAAGAGCCAAATAAATGTGGGGAGAAGTGTGAAGAGTGGAAGGGCATTCTGGGAAGAGGAAAGAGCAAAGGCAAAGGCAAGAAATGGCCCTGCATGTATCTGTTGAGCTTACTGAAGTGAAATTTAGCCTACAGACTGGTAGGGGGAAGAAAGCTGGAGAGAGATTTAGGACCTGAGTCACAAAAGGCCCTCTGTGCCTGCTGAAGGAACTTGCCTTTGATTTTGTGGGTAGTGGAAAGACCCTGACAGAGTGTAAGCAGAGGAGGGACACTGCTTTACTTTTACATATGTGAGTGGATCCCCATTACCTTTGCTCATGTTCATTGCCTTTATTCCATCTCCATAACATAAAAAGCAAATATATTTTTTAAAAGGCTACATTTTACTTCTAATCATCAGCAAACTTAGGCTCATTCTGTTACAGATATATAGGACATAAATTCTCTTTTACATTTCCTCAGATATATTATTTCTTTTCACTAATAATATTCCTACTTGGAAAAGAAAAGCTGACATTTTCATGTGCTTAACTTTTCAAGGTACTGCCACATGACAGCAAAGCTCGACGACTTTTTGTAACAAGTGGTGGACTTAAAAAGGTTCAAGAGATAAAAGCAGAGCCTGAATCTCTCCTTCAAGAATACATCAACAGTATTAACAACTGTTACCCAGAGGAAATAGTAAGGTGGGAAAAATGGACTTTGAGTAGTTCAAAATTATAGTTTTTCTGTTTTCAAATCTAGATTTTATATCCACTGTGTTAAAATGTTGTCTTTAAAATACTACATAAGACCAATGTATACCTTTACTTTTCTCTTGCTATCTTTCCCCCCTCAATTTAATAATGTTCTGATTGACACACACATCTCCAAATCAAACTGGAATGTGATCTGAGACATATCTATACTAATCCAACACTAAAGAGTACCCAAATACAGAGAGTAAGTTAAATTAACAATCTTTAATGTTAAACTGATTTAGAAAGGGCCTACAGATTCTGATTTTCATAGTTCCCTGCATATTATTTTTCTGCCCTAAGCTCACATTTATATTAATAGGAGTATTATAAATAGAAAAGAGATGTTGAATGGCAAAAAGAAAGTTACTATCTATATTACTATAAAAAAATAATGTTTGCGATCTGCAGGTGCCTCATCGTAATATAGCAGGAAGTTCTTTTGAAGATTAATTTTTTAAAATAAGGTTGATTTGCAGAGCATTAAACCTAAGCCTTGGTCTTTAAAAGCCTAAAGAAGAACTATGCCACTAAACCCCAAAGAAATAAAAGCAAAGTTACCAAGAAAATATAGAATGATTTAAACAACTGAATCTTGAAAAATGCCCATAAAATATTCAGAATTAAAGACCATATTTACCCGTTTTGTCTAATCCTACATTCATTTCTTATTTTCCCTAGTTAATATTAGAGAATATAAATTACAGAGTTTAAATCTTGTAATTTATATAGGGTATTAAATACTTTTTCCTATTTAATATCAGTGGTCTTTAATATATATAGTAACATTCATTGTAAAAGCATAAAAATAATCTTTAATATTAAGGTTTGTTTTCTGTACTTATATATTCTTCTAGTAAATTCTTTCCAGAGGTACAGTTCATGCACTTTTTTTTTCAGTTCATGCACTTTTGTGAGGTTTATGAGAACTGCTTGACAAAGAGAGTTCTAATAAATTAGCTTTAAAGATATTAATATAGAATAACATATATAAGGAGTAGCATATTATAAATGTATATCTACTGTATATAATATATAAATAATATACAAAAAAGGTTATATAAAATGTGTGTGAAACCAGTAAGTGAAGGAAATATGAAAATCTTTTATTGAGAAAAAATAAAGTTAATTTGCATACATTCCTCCCTTCAGGAAGAATGCTATTTTATATAAGTTTAAAATAACTTTCAATGTAATTTTCTAACATAATAAAATTATAGAAAAAAATTTAAAAAGCCAAAGGGGTCTAAATGGAATGACCTATCAGAATTAACCAGCAGTAAGGTACTTTCTGGAATAGAAGTCTTCTTTCTATTCCTTTCTAGAATTACTTTACAGAACACTAGGGAAAAATGAAAACTCTGTCACATTAGAATTTAATCTGGTGCTTTGTCAAAATACCATTGTAAAATTTTAGCCTCACACTCTGTGATCTGTGATTTTATTTTAAAAATTGGCTAATTATCATGAAGAATTCTGATTAGCTGACTTTTCATGTTTATTATTATTATTATTATTTTTATTTACGATAGTCATACAGAGAGAGAGAGAGGCAGAGACACAGGCAGAGGGAGAAGCAGGCTCCATGCACCGGGAGCCTGATGTGGGATTCGATCCTGGGTCTCCAGGATCGCGCCCTGGGTCAAAGGCAGGCGCCAAACCGTTGCGCCACCCGGGGATCCCTGTTTATTATATTTTTTAAAACATTAGGTTCTATACAATTTAGAAATGTTCTATAGAAATCTTTGAAACATTATCAATGAAAATGGACAAATATAAGCTCGAAATGGTTTTATTTTTGTAATCATATAATTCTCAGGAATTACTTGGTGACTATTTTAGAACTAATTATTTTTTAAAGACAGATTATCAATGAATACATTCTTTCAGCTGTTACTAGCCTAAACGTTATTTCATATTGCCTTGCCGTTTTAGTAAACTTTAAAGATCTCAAATAAGGTGGTTGGTGTGATGAGCAGGAAGGGGCTCTGGACTAGAAGGCCTGAGGTCTAATCCTGGCCCATTCCACAGACAGAAGGTATTTTTGGAACTCCTCTGTCTTCTGGATCTCTGTCTAGACTATATTGAAATCAGTATAAAAAACTATTAATGAGCTATTTCATTTTTTTATACTAAGTTTTTGAAATCTAGTAAGGATTTTATCATATATAGTTCATTTCAATTCAGATGCTAAACTTTATTAGAAATATTTTATCTGTATTTGAATTGTATAACGTTTATAGTAGATTTACAAGTTGTTCCAAAGACACCTAAAAGTTTCATCTAGGGGCACCTGGGAGGCTTGTGGGTTAAGTGCCCAACTCTTGATTGCAGCTCAGGTCGTGATCTCAGGGTCATGAGGAGCTCTGCATGATCTAGGCATGGAGCCTGCTACAGATTCTCTCTCTCCCTCTTCCTCCCCTCCCTTACAACCGTTTATGTGTATGAGCATGTGCACACATACTCTCTCTCTCTCTCTCTCTCTCTCTCTCGGAGGATTAGTTTTTACATTTTTATTACAACTAAATATAAAAATTCAGTTCCTCAGTTACACTAGCCATATTTCTAATGCTCAGCAGTCACATGTAGCTAGTGGCTACTACATGAAATAGCACAATTTCTTAAGTTTTGGTTTTTCTAAATCTACTTCTTACCATTTTTAAGAAGTACCTATCTTGTATCTGACCTATTTATCAGGCCTAGGAAGGTGAGGCCTGTTTTAAAATTTGTGACTAACTCAGAGAGAGGAACAGTTTTGACTTCCTCAGTGTAAGAGTACTTGAAAGAGACCCACTGTTGAAGGACATATTTTTCAAGGGTAGGATGCCTTTCAAGGAGAAACATCTTTTGGGTAACTTTTTATGTATGTGTGTATGTGTCTGCTTAACTATGACTACCTATAAATACACTATTGAGAAAATACTGTTCTGTTTTGTCCACCTCCACTTGACAAATTGTAGGATAAATTAGTGTAATATAAATTGTGAGTTTTTAAGTCAAGCACAGGTATAGCAAAGTCAAAGCAAATCTTGAACATTAGATTTTATCTGGAAAGAATACCTTAGGAAGTTTAATTATTTTGAGTGTTTTGGAAAACTTTGAATTATGCTTAGATTTTTTTATCTGTTTATTATATTCTAGAATGCCTGCCAAATTTTGACATACTTTTATGAGTATGTAATTTCTTTCCATAGACATGAAGCATCCCATAATGCATTAATCAATATATCTAATACTTCCATACTATATATTTTACAAAATGCTCAAATGATAAATATTTTAGTACTTTAGTACTTTAGATTCCCCCAAATAAATGAAAATGACTAGTTTCCTAAGTTTGTGTGATGGGATATTTGCAAACCATTTATTAAATAGTTTTTTAATGTGAATTATACTCCCAGAAATTTTTGTTTTTATGGGTGACCAGATCTGATTAAGACATACAGTGAGAATAATCTGTAAGGCAATCAGAATGCAGACATCAATTAGTAATGTCTAACTTATGAAAAAACCTATTAGTTATGATCATTAAAGCAACATCAGTCATTTAACATAATAAAAATAATCTTTGTAATAAAATACTATCACTGGATCCAAATATCTAGTTTTAAAAATGCCCCTTCTGTGCCACTTCATAACCCTTACATGTCTTGCTCTTTATCTAGCACAGTCTTATAAATTGGTGTTCTCTTCTTTGGTAGTCTCTAACCTTATGCACAAAGCTTAACTATTCAGATATTTGAGGTTTCACTATTAGAATTAATTTAGATAAATAGCTTATATTGAATCTTTTGTGCCTACTGTGCTAAATCTTTTTACAAATATCTAAAAGAAAATTTTCTTTTTCAGATATTATTCCCCTGGATATTCAGACACACTTCTGCAGAGAGTGGACAGCTATCAACCAATTACTAACTAATAAGCAGAGTTCTGTTTTTATACTCTAATTCACAACAGAGTATTTATGAATGACAGTCGTTAAAGCTCTTTCTAAATATTTGAACTAAGTACATTCTAGATTTATTCAGTGTGAAGTACCTTTGGATAATTTTTTCTAAATTTACGTAATACTTTAAGAATTAGTGGCCTGAAAGATGAGGAAATACTGGTCATTTACATAGGATTTGCTCTAAGGGCCAATTTTTAGAAGACACTAAAGGGCATTAAGGCATTTGTTGCTGTTCTGTTACCACCCCACTCCCAGTCTCAAACACACACACTCCCAACTACATGTAGGTGAAAGATGATGTTGAAAACTCTGTTATTTGACCAGTTCCTCCTAGACATAGGCAAGAAAAACTGGCCTTGCAAATTCCTCAGCAGGACATAGCAGGGAAATAGTTGAATAAGGAAACTAATGACAGAACTATAGGGCACCTGAAGAGACTCTGATGCTCTTTACATCAATGCATTCACTAAACACAGGGAAACTCTGGTAACCTGTTGAGTTCTCCTACTAACTTAGGAAGCTCTCCCTCTCCTCTTCATGCCAAATTTTCTAAGCTCTTTTCTCACCTCACTCAAACTGTTCCTTACCTATCATGGGGCTGGAGAGGGAGGAAGTCACTATTAAGCATTATTCCACTACAGACATGCTTCCCATTTCATGGAAAGGTTTCTGAGTCTAGCCTTGCTCATGAATAAACCAGGAAGCAGGCAAATAAAATGGGTCCTCAGCATACCCTGTCTTCATTTCATTTCCCTGAATTTCAAAAGTCACATTTTCAGGGATTTAAGAAATAATTTTTTAAAAATACCACTAAGGTTAGACTTTACATGCATTTTCACTTAAGGGGCTGTAAGGGGGTGAGAGGGGGTTTCAATAAAATTTTAAATAAAAACAACATTAGAATTGTCCTTTGCATTTTTCCTGTAGTGTATTTCTGACCTTGGGGAATACATGATTAGGTTTAAGGGTCTTGGATAGTTGGCGTGTGTGTGTGTATGTGTGTGGGTGTGTGTGTGTGTCTGCCTGTCTGACTGTCTGGATTTAGAAGGACATTTCTTACAGTGCTCTTCCCTGGCGGCCTGGAGAGGAGGCAAATGATAACCAGAGAGCCTGCAGGCCACAGTGTTCCCAAACTGGCCAGCTTTCAGATTTCCTTCTTGGATTCCCCCCCCCCACCCACCCAAAAAAGAACCTACCCATCTATTTTTGGTATCTTCTGGATTCATCTCTGTCATCATTTCCTGACAGTGCATAACTTTGCTGCATCTTTTTAAATTAAACTTTATCATGCCCAAGATTGTCCCATTTCTTTTTGCCTTGTATCAGCCTAGGATTACTTGCAATTTGACTTTTAATACCTCTTGGGGTCTACTTTGTTTCCTTGTAGTAATTTCTTTGATTTATTACATAAGAAAATAACTTTCATTTTCAGTTGTGGTAGCTTTCCTTTTTCTCCTTCATGCCTGCCCAGCATCTCTTCTGAACCTTTTAACAATCTGAGAAAATAAAGTTTTCATGTTTCTTCCTTAGTACCATTGTTTTAGAATGGCCATGTTGGTCATGACAAAAATTAGTCTCTCTGGAATGAAACCTCCTCAGCTGTTCTGGGAATCGTGACTTTCCTATTATTATTTCTTGTCATTGTATGTTAATGTAGTTGAAGATTTCATTTCATCATTTCACATTTATCAAATACTATTAAAGAAATATAATGTTTAATATTGTTTGGATGAATACTATAATTTTATCATGCAATTTGGAAAATATATGCTATGAAACATTCATTAATATAACACACTTAAAGCAAAATTAAGCTTGCTTTATTTTTAGAAAAGTTCGTGATGTGACTTTTTAAAAAAAATCTTATCTATTTGTGCTAAAGCAAAATAGTACGTCTCATTGATGGTATTTTCTTTGATATTTTCATCCCTGCTTTGAATTTTGTCAATTCCTATTCTCCAAGCAGACCAACCCTGTCTCACTCCTCTTCTCCCCCCACTGCAGTTTATTTAAAATTCAACTATCATTAAGATATCTCATTTAGCTTATATGAACAGCACTTTATTTTTAGGACTTGAGTTCAAGAATAGAATACTTGAAACTTATTATTGGTTGAAACATTATTCATATAGTTCACTTGTTATGAAAACAGGTGCATATAAGTGGTGCTGAAAAGAGATGTTGAAAATCTGGTTCTAGCCATTTCTGTCACATAGTAAGGGGTTATGATACTTGTTCAGCTTACTTATAAGATGCTGATGAATTAACCTCCAATGGTGCAGGTAAAGGTTTTGTAAACCTTTCCAGTCTGTGGAAATTGATGTATGATCTCAGGGGAATCTTGACAGCCAATAGCAGATCAAACATTTTGGCTGGCAAATGGGCACACCGGGCCCCATCCTCTTAGGTAAGTGGAGTTGATACTAGATGATTATGATAAAGGAAAGCTACATTGCCTGTCCTCATAGAGTTTTCTAATAAAAACACATTTGCCCAGACACAGAGAGTAAAATAGGCACAAGACACTGAACACAAAACAGGCCTATTTCATATATAAACAAATGACAGCCTCATATTTACAGGAGGTTGTCCTGTTTTTCTGTTTTCTTTTTTTCCAAGTTTTTAATTCTAGTTGGTTTTGATCTGTTTCTCTAATCTTTTCCTTTCAAACTACCCTCTTAAATAAGAAAGGATTAAAGATTTGCTCCCTTCTAATCTTGATGTGAGGTCCTGCATAACATAAACCCTGACCTTAAATTCCTAGGTGAGATCATCTCCATTCCAAAGTGTCAAGTATAGAAACTGACCTTGAAAGAATGATTTGTCTGTTTTCAAATCGCCAACTCTTTTAAGTTAGGTGCTAGTGAATGTTGAAGCTGGTGTATTCTGTAGCTTATTTTGCCACAAAATTCACTGTATAGAAAATATTGATTTGTGGCTATTCTGCTTCAGAGATTAAAAGGATTAAATGACAGTCATAACTCTAACTATTGCATTTAACAGTCCATTAAGGGACTGTGGACCTTTAAAATATGATTTGTCTATGCAATTATTTTTCTAGTAATATGAATACTTATTTTTTAAAGATTGATTTATTTATTTGAGAGGCAGACCGGGGTGGTGGCTAAGGGAGAGAAGAAGAGAGAATTTTTAAGCAGACTCCTTGCTGAGCACAGAGCCCTCACAGGGCTCAATCTCACCACCCTAAGATCACAACCTGAGCCAAAACCAAGAGTTGGATGCTTAGACTGAGCCACCCAAGTGCTCCACTTTTGTTTTAAGAGGATTTCATAGGGCATAAAATTAGATAATCAGTGATATTGCTTTAAAGAATGGTAAGTTTTATTGTATTTGAGTAAGCTTTTAAAAAAATTTAGGCAATATAGGAAAAGATAAAGAAAAATGCAAAACATCACTCACAGCCCAGAAAATGTCATTAAGAAGCTGACATAATTCTAGATATCTCCCTGAGCCTTTGTACAAATAAAAATTTTTAGAAAAGTGTATTCATGCTATTCATGCTATTTTAAAAGAAAAAGAAAAAGCTATAATAGCTTGTTTCACAGAAGATGGGGCTTTTTTATTTTTCTTTATTTCAGTTGGTGTAAGGAAAAGTTCTCCGTGGTAAATTAAGGACCAATATAAAATATTTCTAATGGGCTCCTTTTGTTAATGATTGGCTAGTATTTGCTACAGAGATTTTGTCTTTTATATTTTTGGTCTTTTTAGGAGACATTTTATTTCATAATTTTTAAGTGATTCTATGAAACAGACCACAAGGTTTAATGTCTTTTTCTTTTCTCTTTATACATGAACCTATGACTTTGCGAATGCTATAGAGATTTTATTTTTACTTTTTATTTTTTTTAGAGTGTGTGTGTGGTAGGGGGAAGGGCAAAGGGAGAAGGAGAGATAGAATCTTAAGCAGGTTCTACACCCAGCGCAGAGCCCAGTGTGGGCTTGATCTCATGACCCTAAGATCACGACCTCAGCTGAAATCAAGAGTTGGACATTTAACCAACTGAGCCAGGCAGGTGCCCCTAAATGCTACAGAGATTTTAAACTGAGTGCTATTTATGGGTTATCAGTTTTACAACACTTGTTCAAGAATATTATACTAAAGATATATCATTTTGCAAGGTGGGTTGGTATAGCTATTTACACATTAAATAAAGCCTATAATTTTTCCAATGTATACAGAATTGGTGGTAATGCACTCCTGCTAAAATTTATACTAAAGAATCAAATGTATACATTACTGATGGTAAGTATTTACTCAAAGTATTTTGGGATATAAAGAAGTCCAGTCCTTTGAGAACTACTGCAACCTATATTGACTTCTCTCCTTTTTGAAGTTCTTTAGCATGTATAGTTTAAAACAAATGTAATTAAAATTCTAAAGAGAATGTCATCATTCTCCCACTTTCTTTTCTTCACTAACTCAAGTCTGACCTTTTTCTTGGATGAAGTGTGCTCTTCTGTCCCCAGTGGCACTAACACTGTGATGAGCATGCAGCAGCACTAATGGCAGGCTAGCCTGAGGATCAGGGCAGCTCAGTTCTCTGTGGTCATGTCTCTTCAAGTCCCGGCACCTTGCTTTTCTGAAAGACCATCATTTAGTGCAGAAGAGCACAGACTCTAGAGTTAGAGACCCATTTTAGAATCTCAAAACTGCTATGCCCTGACTCAGTGGCCTTCAGCAAGTTACCAATAGTACCCAATTTATAGGATCCTGAGGGTTAAACAGGGTGAATGAGCACAGAGCCTGACATGTAGTAAGCAGTGACAGCACTAACTATATGGTATCCTTGTGTAATTAGAAAAAGGTGCACAGTCCTCAAGACACTTTACTTTCATCTAGGCAGAAATTGTTGTAATATTCTGATTTTTAGACCAAGACACTTTACTGCCATCTGCTGGAAAATTCTCTTAGTAAATATGCAAATCCATGATTTCTATGATGTGAACCACATCCCCTTAGATGTGCTGGTTTCCTTGGGTAGTACACAACCTGCACAACTGTGCACATAGGTGCTCAATAGATCATATTTGCTACTCTCCTTTTCACTTTTGTATATGGGGTTTGGAAGAGAATTCCAGATAAACAATACTATTGTATGAAGCAATTGATTAAAAAAAAATCAAGGAGTCCAAGTTAATCTCCATAAACAGTTCATGTCTATTTTGTTACAAAGCTTGGACACATTTGGGCTTACTACTTCTCTTGCTTCTCACACAGAAAAGTACATTCTATAGTAAAATCTGCAATTTAAGTTAGCAGACATACTAATTCAACCATTATTCTGGCATCTATAAAAACTGAAAGACCAAACAAAGGACATATATATGCAAAATCAAAGTATGTTTTGGAATAATCCATGTAGCATTTTAATCTTGATTTTAAAAAGTGGTTTCAGAATATTACATTGTTATTGCAAGGTGGCAGATCTCTGGAAAGCAGCTCTGCCAGGGCTCTGTTCACCTTTCTTCATCCCAGAATCTGGGATGGGATATGACAGGTGACTCTCTCTTCTAGCCAAATAGCCTTTATTGAAGGGATCATTGTAGGACCTTTCTGTACACGAAAGGCAAAAATATGGCTAATTTGCATACCTAGCAGTACAATCATAAAGAAGATTGACTACAGTTGGGTAAGTCAATTCTAGAACCAACAGACTGAAGGACAGGTTGGTCACTATGAGGATAGAGCCTAAAATTCCTCCCTAAGTGTATTTAGTAACTATTTCCCATGCACTTCAAGATACTGCCCCAGGCCTTTTCCCGGGTGACAAAGCACTGCAGCAGGTGTAGGCCCCAGTG